GTTTCGCGGAGCGTCCCATGGCGAGTCCCCCTGGCAAGTCGCGCGGTGCACGTCCATTGGCACGTTCCGTAGCGCGTCCCCTTGGCACATCCCGCGGTGCGTGCCCATGGCACGTCCCCTGGCACGTCGCCTTGCGCGTCCCTTGGGACGTTCCGCGGCGCGTCCTCCTGGCATGTCCCCCTGTCAATTAGCTCTGGGGCAGCTACCATCTGCTCAGGCAGCTCGAGCTTCAGATCCAGATCAGTTCGGTCAGGACTCGGATGCAAAGAGGACTCGATCCACAACGCTATATAGAGCACAATCGCGGCATGGCACATCGAAGTTCAGCACGGCCCAGCACAGCACAGCTTTTGGCACGGTACATCAAGATCGATACACTCAACATTGCACCTTGGCACGTTCCTTGGCGCGTTCCGTGGCGAGTCCACCTGGTACGTCGCGCGGCGCGTCCCCTGGCACGTCCCGCGGCACGTCCATTGGCACGTTCCGTAGCGCGTCCCCTTGGCACGTCCCGCGGTGCATGTCCATGGCAAGTCCCCTGGCACGTCGCCTGGCGCGTCCCTTGGGACGTTCCGCGGCGCGTCGTCCTGGCATGTCCCCTCTGTCTGTCTCGAGCGAGACGCTGGTTTTGCAGAGTTGGGGATGTCTCGAGCGAAACGCTTGGTTTCAGAATTTGTTGAGGATGTCTCGAGCGACACGCTGGTTTTGCAGAGCCGACCGCGACACGGAAAAGCGCCCCTCGCGCAGGAATTCCAAGGATGTCTCGCGCGTGCCGCGTCCCGCGCGCGGGTATTTGGATTTCTTGGGATTTTGACAGGATGTCTCGAGCGAAACGCTTGTTTTTCATAATTTGTTGAGGATGTCTCGAGCGAAACGCTGGTTTTGCAAAATTGGAGGATGTCTCGAGCGGTGGCCTCGTGGGGGGCCAGAATTCAAAGGATGTCTCAGGCGAAATGCTTGTTTTCACGTCCCGCTCGCAGGAATTCCGAGGATGTCTCGCGCGTGCAGCGTCCCGCGCGTAGGAATTCAAATGATTTTGACAGGATGTCTCGAGCGAAACGCTTGTCCCCAGCACGTTCCGTAGCGCGTCCCCTTGGCAGGTCCCGCGGTGCGTCCCCATGGCACGTCCCTTGGCACGTCGCTTGGCGCGTCCCTTGAGACGTTCTGCGTCGCGTCCTCCTGGCATGTTCCCCTGTCCATTAGCTCTGGGGCAGCTACTATGTGTTCAGGCAGCTCGAGCTTAAGATCCAGATCAGTTCGGTCAGGACTCGGATGCAAAGGAGGACTCGATCCACGAGGCTATAGAGCACAATCGCGCCATGGCACATCGCAATTCAGCACGGCGCAGCACAGCACTGATTTCGGCACGGTACATCAAGGTCGATGCACTCAGCATTGCAACTTGGCACGTTCCTTGGCACGTTCCGTGGGGCGTCCTTTGGCGAGTCCCCCTGGCACGTCGCGTCGCGCGTCCCCTGGCACATCCCGTGGCACATCCATTGGCACGTTCCGTAGCGCGTCCCCTTGGCACGTCCCGCGGTGCGACCCCATGGCACGTCCCCTGGCACGTCGCCTGGCGCATCCCTTGGGACGTTTCGCGGCGCGTCCTCCTGGCATGTTCCCCTGTCCATTAGCTCTGGGGCAGCTACTATGTGTTCAGGCAGCTCGAGCTTAAGATCCAGATCAGTTCGGTCAGGACTCGGATGCAAAGGAGGACTCGATCCACGAGGCTATAGAGCACAGTCGCGCCATGGCACATCGCAATTCAGCACGGCGCAGCACAGCACAGCCCTCGGCAGGGTACATCAAGATCGATACCTTCAGTATTGCATTTGCCCGTCACCCAATCAGGTGTCTTTGAAAACGCTGCCATGTGTTACAGTTCTACATTCCTTTCCGGGTTCGTGGGTCGATCATGTTTTGTTTTTGTTTCTCTCTCTCTCTCTCTTTGTCGCCCCCATCGCTTAACCACCCTCTCATTCACATCCTCCTCTTCTTCCTTCTCCTCTTCCTGCTCCTCCTCTTCCTCCTCCTCCGTTCCTATCCTCGTCCTCTGTTCTCCTCTCCTTCTCCTCCTACCTCCTCTTCCTCCTCCTCCTCATCCTCCTCTGTCCTCCTCCTCCTCCTCTGCCTCCTCCTCGTCCTCCTCCTCCTTCTCCATTATTCCTTTTCTTACAGAGAACTCTCCTGTCGAACCTCGAGGCCCGTCCAAAGGGCGGACCGGGCGTTTCGCTTGAGACTTCCCTGTAATATATGATCCTGTAGCTTGAAATCTGCAAGAGATTCACAGGTGGAGGGCGGTCTGTTTTCAACATGTGGTTTTCGCATTAGCTCCGCGTACATTCGTTTCAAACTTTCGCAAGGGTGTCACGGATGCAGGGTGGTCCGTTTTCAAAATGTGGTTCTCGCTTCAGCGCCGCGGACATTTGTTCTGTGCAGTTTGCAACGGTTTCACGTATGGAAGACGGTTCCTTTTCAGAATGTGATTTTCGCCATGCATGGATGGTGGTTCTTTTTCAAAATGTTGTGTTCGCCTTGGCGCCGCGCGCATTCGTCTGAACGGTTCGTTAGGATGTCACGGATGGAGGGCGGTTCGTTTTTAAAATGTGGTTCTCGCTTCGTCGTCTGAGTTAGCAAGAGCTTCACGGATGGAGGGCGGTTCTTTTCCCGGCAAGGGCTCGGGCCCAGGGTTCTCTTTTAGTGTGTTTACCCCCGGTTCTGACGGCTGTAGGGCCGGCGAAGTTGTTTTGCGATAAATGACGAGGTCGCGTATGGCCAGCGAAATTATTTTCGAGGACGTCTCGAGCGAAACGCTGGTTTTTCAGACTTTATTGAGGATGTCTCGAGCGAACCGCTTGTTTTGTGTTATAGAGTGTCCTCTCCTGGGGACCTGAATTCAGAGGATCTCTCAAGTGAAATGCTTGTTTTAACGTGCCCAGGTCTTGAGGATGTCTCGAGCGAGACCCTTGGTTTCACGCCTCCAGGTTGCCCAGGCAGAGGTCTAGCGCCAGGATTTGTTGAGCATGTCTCGAGCGAGACGCTTGGTTTCACGCGTCCTCGTCGCCCAGGCGGATGTCTAGCATGAGGATGTGTCGAGGAAGTCTCGATCGAGATGCTTGTTTGCACGTGTCCAGGTTGCCCATGCGGATGCCTAGCATGAGGATGTGTTGAGAATGTCTCGAGAGATACGCTTGTTTTCACGTGTCCAGGTCGCCCACGTGGATGTCTAACATGAAGAAGTGTTGAGGATGTCTCGAGCGAGACGTTTGCTTTCACGTGTACAGGTCGCCCAGGCGGATGTCTAGAATGAGGAGGTGTTGAGAACGTCTCGAGCGAATCGCTTGTTTTCACGTGCCCAGGTCACCCAGGCGGACGTCTCACATGAAGATGTGTTGAGGATGTCTCGAGCGAACCACCTGCTTTCACGTGTCCAGTTCGCCCAGGCGGATGTCTAGCATGAGAATGTGTTGAGGATGTGTTGAGCGAAACGCTTGTTTTCACGTGTCCAGGTCGCTCGGGCGGATGTCTAGCATGAGGATGTTGACAGGATGTCTCGAGCGAAACGCTTGTCCCCAGCACGTTCCGTAGCGCGTCCCCTCGGCACGTCCCGCGGTGCGTCCACATGGCACATCCCCTGGCACGTCGCCTGGCGCGTCCCTTGAGACGTTCCGCGGCGCGTCCTCCTGGCATGTTCCCCTGTCAATTAGCTCTGGGGCAGCTACTATGTGGTCAGGCAGCTCGAGATTAAGATCCAGATCAGTTCGGTCAGGACTCGGATGCAAAGGAGGACTTGGTCCACAATGCTATAGAGCATAATTGCGGCATGGCACATCGCAATTCAGCACGGCGCAGCACAGCACAGGCCTCGGCACGTCAGATCAAGATCGATACAATCAGCATTGCAACTTGGCACGTTCCTTGGCACGTTCCGTGGGGCGTCCCTTGGCGAGTCCCCCTGGCACGTCGCGCGGCGCGTCCCCTGGGACGTCCCGTGGCACATCCATTGGCACGTTCCGTAGCGCCTCCCCTTGGCACGTCCCGCGGTGCGTCCACATGGCACGTCCCCTGGCACGTCGCCTGGCGCGTCCCTTGGGACGTTCCGCGGCGCGTAATCCTGGCATGTCCACCTGTCAATTAGCTTTGGGGCAGCTACTATGTGTTCAGGCAGCTCGAGCTTAAGATCCAGATCAGTTCGGTCAGGACTCGGATGCAAAGGAGGACTCGATCCACGACGCTATAGAGCACAGTCGCGGCATGGCACATCGCAATTCAGCACGGTGCAGCACAGCACAGCCCTCGGCAGGGTAGACCAAGATCGATACAATCAGCATTGCACTTGCCCGTCACCCAATCAGGTGTCTTGAAAACGTTGCCATGCGTTACATTTCTATATTCCTTTCTGGGTTCGTGGGTCGATCATGTTTTTCTCACGCCCCGGGGGATCTCTTCGAAATCTGCAGCAAGGGTTGACAGCCAAAGACTCGGAATTTGCACACGTGGGGCTTCGATCGAACATGTATTGCGCGAGGCCCATGTCATGATCCCCCCGCGGGCTGTCGGCTCATTTTGCTTCCCCCGAGATCTGAGGGGGGCCGCCAGGCTGGAGGGGGGCGGAGGGGAGGGGATAGGGGAACAAAAAGTGACATAAACATAAAAACTCTGAGGTCCGCGCGGGTTTCTCGGATCGGCGCTGGGGCCCCCCGGCGGCGCCTCCGGCGCCGCCCGTGGCGCGCTCCGCGCGCCAGGGAGGGGGGTCCAGCGCCGATCCAAGAAATCCGCGCGGACCTCCGAGTTTTTATGTTTATGCCACTTTTTGTTCCCCTAACGGCAGGGCTTTCTCCTCTCAGGGCCCCAGGTCTCGAGGCCTCACGTTTGAAGTGCCAGTCCGGGGTCGACGCAGGGGCCTCTTCCGAGGCCCCGCCGCCCACGGGCCTGGCGCCGCGATTTGGTTCTCAGCGTGGGTCTCCAGAGTCGAGGGGCATGGGGGCCGCCATGGGGGCATGGGGGCCCCCGAGGAGGCCGCCGAGGATACCGCCGAGGGGGGGCCGCCGAGGACACCGCGTCCTCGGCCTCCACCGTGGCCAGGGCGCTGCCGCTGTCCTCGCCACTGGCGCCCCCCGGGTGCAGCATCCTGTGCTTCGGGGACAGCCTGACCCAGGCACCCCTAGAAGTGGAGGGGGAGCAGGAGGAGGAGGAGGAGGGAGTAGGAGTAGGAGTAGGAGTAGGAGGAGGAGGAGGAGGAGGAGGAGGAGGAGGAGGGAGGAGGAGGATGAGGAGGAGGAGGAGGAGGAGGAGGAGGAGGGAGTAGGAGGGGCAGTAGGAGGAGGAGGGAGGAGGAGGAGGAGGAGGAGGGAAGGATGAGGAGGAGGAGGAGGGAGTAGGAGGAGGAGCAGGAGGAGTGGGAGGGCGGAGGAGGAGGAGGAGGAGGGGGAGGAGGAGGGAGTAGGAGGAGGAGGATGGTAATAACCTCCATCACCCCCTCCCCGACCAGGTGGTCGCACAATCTTTCGAATGGCCTTCGGCTCATCCCGTCACCGTGCCTGGGTTGTGGGCATCAAGCCCATTGGATGTTCGTTGGGATCTCGTGGGAGGCCTCTCGGAGGCGTCTTGGAGACGGTGTTGCGGCCTCTTGGGGCCTGTTTTGGGAGCCTTTTCGGGGGTAGGGAGGGGGGGGAGCGCGGTAACGTCGCGTTCGGCGCCAGCGCCGTCTGGGAATGCTTCGGAACAACCAAAGGCAACTCGGAGTCGGGGGTAGGGAGGGGGGGGAGCGCGGTAACGTCGCTTTCGGCGCCAGCGCCGTCTGGGAATGCTTCGGAACAACCAAAGGCAACTCGGAGGTCAGCACGAATCGTGACGTGGCCTGCGGGTAGGGGGTGGGCGGGCGGCAGGGGCCGGCGACGGCCGCTGTCGCGAAGCATACAAAATAATCAAGGCTATGTTCGTCATCGCCGCTGCTACCCCCGGTACATCTTCTGAGGTGCGCTGCTCCCCGCATGGTCCAGAAGTAGATTTCTCGCCGCCGGCCGTCGTAGGCGCTCGCCGTCTAGCCCCTGGAGTACCCCCAGAAGCCCGGAGAGGAACAAACATACAAAACAATCTCCAGTGGGTCGGTCTTTCCTCCGGCCTCTTGTCCCCGTGGGCGCCATCGTGCCCAGGGTGCCGGCTGCTCCGCGGACGGCTGGTGGTCTGCCGCTTCCCCACGGCTCCGCTGCCCCCGCGCTGCCTCCTGTCCTCGAGGAGGGGATCTACCCCCGGTCGTTGAAGGTAGTACAGGTGTTGCTGGATCCCCAGGTCTCGAGGGTCAATGCTTTCCTGCTTCATATGCTTCCCATGCCTGCCCGCCTTCAGCGCCTTCCCGCTTCATGGTTCTGCCCACTTCTTCCGCCCGATGGGTAGTTATCCACATCCACCGCCTGGGGGATCGATGTTCGGGGATCTCGGCAGGCAGTGGGTCTGGATGTTTACATCCGGGCCTGGGGTGGCGAACTATACTCAAGCAGTGGCGAGGCGTCCTGGCTTGCCTATAGGCCCACTGCAGAATGTTCTAACGACCTTTCGTTGCCCAAAATGTTCTTAGAAGAGTTCTGGCTGAGACCGTCTTGTCTCTTACATCGGTTCCACGTGCCAATAATATTGTTTTCAACGCAAGAGCATTCGCTTGCTCTAAGAGCACTTCGTCGTGGACCTATAGCAATGCCGGGACGGTCGGTTCCTGCTCAGCCATATGCACAGCCACCTCCTGCAGACGTCCCCGCAGAGCGGTGCCGCAGGCGGCGGTGGTGGATGCGCCTCCGCCTCGCATCCCGCTAGCCGGGCGCGGGGCCCCAGATTCGGATATTCCATGGCTGGCACGAGTACCCGCACTGCATGCGAACACGCCTTCCAGGGGGGGGTCGTAGAGGGGTGGTTGTCCGAGGCTTGGGGTTGGGGGGCGAGCCCACTGGGATGCTCACGTATCCTTCTTCGGGAGGCTGTTTGGAGCGGTTTTCCCCCAAACCTACCTCCCCCCCCTAAACCTCACGTTTACGTCACACAGAGCCGCTGGAACGGGCAGGCCTCGGACGAGGACAGATCGCCCGAGGGCGTCCTGTGACGCTCTCAGAGCGTCCCAGGTCACCGAGCGCGTTCCACTACTCGGAAAGTGCCTGCACGCATACGTCAGAAAACAACACGTGTCTTTGCCTCGATGCAATGGGTCGTAGATCCCACGCGGCGGATCAAGGCCAGTTGCGAATAGTCATTCTGCGAGTAGTGGAGCACCCTTGTCTAGCAGGGCACGCTGAAACGACCGCGGCGCCCGACACATCCTCCGGACTTGTTGGCTCTCCGAGACTCCCTATGCAGCATATGCATGTCGCATGTCCTCGTCCAGATTTGTTGGCAGCGTTGCAGTCGGTGTCATCCAGGAGGTATGTGCATACTATGTGTGCCCCCCTCCCCCAGCGGCGACAAGCGCGCTCCGTCATTTTTCCCGGAAAGGGCCTGAGCCCAGGGTTCTCTTTTAGAGGTTCCCTCACCGAGTTGACGGCTGTAGGGCCGGCGAAATTGTTTGCGATAACAAACGAGGTCGCGTATGGCCGGCGAAATGATTCCCGGAAGGGGCTTGGGCCCAGGGTTTTCTTTTAGTTGGTAAGTCCCCCCCGTGCCAACTTCTGTAGGGCGGGCTATTTTTCCGCTCGATGAAAAACTAGGTAAAGTCCAATTCGGCGTGAACAAATGCGTTTCGCGCGTGCCCGCTCGAGGAAAGTCGACCCCCCACCTCAGATCCTCAGTAAATAACGGGGTCCGCGGACACCCGTTTCCTTCGATGAAAAACAATGTAAAGTTCAACGCGGCGCGGAAAGCGTGAAAATGTTTACTTTTCGCGTCCCCCGCTCGAGGATGGTGCGCCCCCGCGCCAAAACATCGAGGACGTCTCGAGCGAAACGCTTGTTGTGCAAAACTTGAGGGGTCTGGGCGCCCCAGCATGCCCCAGGAGGCCCTGGGAGCGCGGACGCGGCGTAATCTACAAGGGATCGTGGTGTTTGGAGCGCGGACCACGCGTAATCTGCAAGATATCGTGGCCCTCCGAGCGCGGGCGCAGCGTAATTTTCGACGGGTCTGAGCCTTGGGAGCTCGGACGCAATCTAATTCATGAGGGATCGTAGCTCTTGGAGCGCGGGCGCAGCGTAAAATACGAGGGATCAGGGCCCTGGGGGCTCGGACGCAGCGTAATTTACAAGGGATCGTGGCCCTGGGAGCGCGGACGCAGCGTAATTTACAAGGGGTCCGGGCCGAGGGGGTGCGGGCCCAGGCTCGCCGACGCGTATGAGTGACCTTTCGCCGGGGTGACTTTTGGTGCGGCTTTGTGGCCCTCGGGGGGCTCCCTCGTCGTTTCGGCCAGACGCAGCTCGAAAAACGGGTCAGCTTGGACCCCGGGAGGGGTCGGGGGACGGATTTTGAGCGGATTCGTGCGCATCAAAGGTCACTTGTACCAAAGGTCACTCTTACGTCCTCCCCACAGGCCTCCCTCGCGTCGTGAGCAAAATCACGACGGAAGGTGCCCTTTTGGGCCCCCGACGCGACGACGACGACGACGACGACCATTTGAAAACGTTGCCATGCCTCGCCTCGCATTTCTAACTATATTCCTTTCCGGGGTCGTGGGTCGATCATGCTGTTCAGCTTCAGGGTCATAAATGGTGTGGAAGTCTCAGGCGAAACGCCCGGCCCGCCCTGAAAATTTGTCTCGGGGTGCGACCAGGAGCAGTTAATTATAAGGAAAATAAATGGAGGAGTAAGAGGAGGAGGAGGAGGAGGAGGAGGAGGAGGAGGAGGAGGAGGAGGAGGAGGAGGAGGAGGAGGAGGAGGAGGAGCACGAGGCGGCGGGTGGTCATGCGCGGCCATCCGTCTCCCGCGCGGCGCGCGCGTGTCCGCGCCAGCCGTGACGTTATGCACGCGTAGCGGGGCCCTCCTATGCATTCGTGCCTCCACGACAGCCCAGGAAATCCCCAGAGCACCTTCAAACGGCGATCGACCACCCAAGGATGCCTCCGAGAGGCCCCAGAGGCACCAACGCCAGCACCGACACTGGCATTGATGCTGTTGTACACAGAGCATACGGGTCATACGTGCGATGGGAACGGTGTCGCCGGCAACTTGGGCTCAATCAGAGTAGACGTCTCTGGTGGTGATATCGGACCTTGCGCCGACGAGTGGAATTCGAATCCGGAGTGCGTCGGATTTGTGCATGTCTCGACCCGGGAATGGTCCCCTGCCTGTTTCCTGCGCTTGAGAGCGATGGGGGGTCCGACGCCTTCTTATTCGGACACGCGCAACTGTTACGAACGCAAGCCGACGGCCGACCCGACGCCAAGCCCCACGCCCACCCCGACTGCGGCCCCACGCCAAGCCCCACGCCCAACCTCACTCCCGAGATAGCCCGTATCTGATAATATCCAAATTCCTGGGACAGGACTAGGACTTGGGCTCTCTCGTAGTAGGTAAGCATGTCGCATGTCCCTTGGTGCCACGTTGGGCAAGGGCTAGCGAATTCCCGCTCGATATGAGATCGATGTGGCGTTTTCCCCGGAAAGGGGCCTCTTTTAGTCGGTTCATCCCCCCTCTGGAACCGACTTGAGACGGGCCGGCGATTTTTTTGCGATAGAGAAGGAGATAAAGTCGAATTCCTGGAGAGGGCACGGGCCCAGGGTTCTCTTTTAGGAGGTTTACCCCTGGAATCGACGGGCGTAGGGTCGGCGAAATGATTTTCGATCAACAAGGAGGTCGCGTAGGGCCGGCGAATTAACATTTGAGGATGTCCCGAGCGAAACGTTGGTTTTTGAAATATCGATCGATAAGATAAAGGGCAAAGTAAGCATTTTCGTTTGTTACGGATGTCTCAGATCGTTCCTCTCCCGGGGACCAGAATTCAGAGAATATCTCAGGTGAAATGCTTGTTTTCACGCGCACAGGTCTTGAGGATGTCTCGAGCGAGACGCTTCGAGGACGCCTCGAGAGAAATGCTTGTTTTGCAGAACTCGAGCGGTCTGTGCGCCCCAGGCGCGTCCTCTGGCACGTCCCGTGACACGTCCATTGGCACGTTCCGTAGCGCGCCCCCTTGGCACGTCTTGCGGTGCCTCCCCATGGCGCGTCCCCTGGCACGCCGCCTGGCGCGTT